CCCATGGGTAATGTGTGGAGGGGAATCAGCAAGATTGAAGGCAATGCATACAGTTTGACTCCCCACCTTCACCCAGAAAGGGCAGCTTCGTCACTCCTCAGTAAATGCTGCGAAAACTCCTCTCTCGATAACTTTCCATTATCCATACGCAGATGCTCCCTTACGTCAAAACATGACAATGAAAATGATTATCAGTGCCAACTTGTAAATGAGGCTGACGTCCCATTTACAAGTCGTGAAGTTGCAGCCATTAAGACTAGCAAATCCATTGCACCTGGGGATGATGGGATTACTTACATCATCCGATTTCGTACAAAGGTGCAGGTACAGGGAAGAAACCCTCTCCTTGATATCTTCAACTTGACCTATACTACAGGCGTCTTGCCTACTGCTTGGAAACAAGTTAGCATTATTTCCATCCCAAAACTAGGGTACCCTGATAAATCCAGACCATACCTGGCCCTTATAATCTTGAAGACAGCTGATAACACACTTTTTTTTTCATTTGCATAATATCGTTCTTCACGGGAAAGTGCTGGTTTTGCGAACTGATCTACCTTGTTGATATTCTGTGTTATTCCTGTCCAGTATAGTGACACTTGTATGCCCTGCTCTGATAGGCTAGAAATTTGGTGAAGGATATTGATAGTTATCCTGTTAGAGTGCACCCGGGCTCTCGGAGAGAAGACAAGTGTCCCTGCCGTTCACTTTTTGATGGTATATTGCTACTGACTCGGCATCGTGCTTGTCCAGTTGGAAATTTGCACATTTCCTTGAAGAGCAATGTCACGAGTTAGTACTCTAGTCCCTGATACTCCATGAGGGTCAGTAGAAGCATCACAGTAGATTGCAAGTGGGGGTGGGGGTGGGTGGGCATGAGGGGATGGAAACTTCATCTTTATATTTCTCTCACTCTCTCTCTCTCTCTGTTCGCTCTTGCACCGTTCTCCTCGTTCTTCACGTTCTCCTCTCCACTCGCTCAGCCTCCGCTCGTTCTCTGCTCGTCTCCATTCACCCCCTTTTCCACCCCGCGCCTCTCTCTCTCTCTCTTCGCCACTGCTCTCTCTGTCCCGTCAGCTCGTTCTCTACGTCTCATCTACCCTCACTCCGTCTCTATTTGAGTCTCGCCTCCTCCCTCGTGTCACTTCTCATCACTCCCTCTCCTTATCCTCTCATCTCCCTCGTTCAGTCTCTCTGTGCATCGTCATCTCCTCCATCTCTCTGCCATCATCGAGCATACGTCGCTTCCGTATCCGTCGGTTCTAAAGGTAAATCTCTCATCCGTCTCTCGCTCTCCCTTTCGCCTCATTCGTCAGAGTTCTCGGTCACTCAGGTCTCTTCGCTCGTTCTCACTCGCACCATCTCTACTCTCTCTCTCTCTCTCTCTCTCTCTCTCTCTCTCTCTCTCTCCCTCTCTCTCTCTCTCATCTCTCTCTCTCTTCTTCCTCTCTCTTTCTCTCTACTCTCCCCCTCCTCTCTTCTCTCTCCTCTTCTCTTCCATCTCTCTTCTCCTCTCGTCTTCTTCCACTCTCTCTCTCTCGTCTCTCTCTCCATCTCTCTCTCTCTCTCCTCTCTCCTCTCCTCTTCCTCTCCTACTCGCTCTCTCTCTCTCTCCTCTCCTCTCTCTCTCTCCTGCTCTCCTCCCCTCCCCTCTCTTTCCCTCGACTCTCTCTCTGTCTCTCCCTCCCTCCATCCCTCCCTCCCTCGGTATCCCTCCTCCCTTCTTCTTCCTTCCTTCTTCTTCCTTTTCCTTCCCCCTCCAGTCCCTCCCTCCTCCTCCCTGCCTCCGCGAGTCCTCACCTCCTCCCCCTCCTTCACCTCCCCCCCCTTTCTCCACTCCCCTCCCCTCTCTAGCCCTCGCCTCGCCTGCCCTTCCGTCTGACCTCCCCCCGTCGCCCCACTTTCCTACCCAATCTCAACCCCCTTCCTCTCCCTCTCACCCCCCGGCCCTCATAAACCTATCCGTCCTCTCCGCTATGTCCAGACATGCCCATCCGCTACATCAGACGCCCTTTCCTCCGTCTCCTCTCTCCCAGCCCTGTCCTTTCCCTTCCTTGTCCTCCCTCTCCCCCTCTCCCTTCCTTCCTCATCCCCCCTTTAAAACCTATCCCTTTGTGGCTTCTCCCTCTCCCAGCAGCATCTCCCCCTTCCTTCTCCCTCCTCCTCGCCTTCCCTTCGCTCCTCTCTCCCCTTCCTCCTCCTCCCTCTCACCCTTCCTACTCCTCCTCCCTCCTCTCTCTCTCTTCTCGCTTCTCATCTCTCTCTCTCTCATCGTCTCACATCAGCGTCAACAGTCTACTGATCACAATCAAAGGTACAATACATTCACGCAGGTTAGCACATTCACTTCACGTGGTATCACGGGTCACAGCACGACTCCCTCTTCTCCATCTTTGATCTCTCTCTCTTTCTCTTTTTCTCTCAAGCTCTTTCTCCTTTTCTCGTTTTTCTCTCCTCTCTTTCGCTCCTCTCTCTGGACTCTCTCGTTGTCATCTAGGCGTTCTGATTCTCTCTCTCTCTCCTCCATCTCTCTCCTCTCCCTCCTCTCGCCTCTTCTCCATCCATCTCTCGACACCTCGCACCAAACTCTCCCTCTCGTCCGCTCTGCTTCCTCTCTCCTTGCTCCCAATATATCCCTCTCCCTCCTCTCTCCCTCACCTCCACCTGTATCTCTCTCTCATCTTCTGCTCGCTCTCCTCTCATCTCTCTCTCTTATTGAATCTCTCTCGTCTCTTCTCTCTCTCTCTCTCTCTCTCTCTCTCCTCTCTCTCTCGCTCCTCTCTCCCTCTCCCTCTCCCTTCTCCCTCTCTCTCTCTCCCTCCTCTCCCTCCCTCCTCCCTCTCTCTCTCTCTCTCTCTCTCTCTCCTCTCTCTCTCCTCTCCTCCTCTCCCTTCTCCCTCTCTCTCCCTCTCCCTCTCCCTCTCTCTCCTCTCCCTCTCTCTCCCTCTCTCCCTCTCCTCTCTCCTCTCTCTCCCTCTCCCTCTCCCTCTCCTCCTCTCCCTCTCCCTCCCTCTCTCTCTCTTCGCACGTTGTCTATCTTTCTGTATGTTTAATAGACAACATGGCGTTCCAGGGTCTGCCTGCCTTAGTCGTCTTCCCTGGGGCCGATGAAGCGTTGTCCCCGCAAGCCGTTGGAGCGCCCGCTTTCGCCAACGCCCAAGGCCAGCAGCATCAAGGGGAAATCACTCCAGATCGGCTCCGGCCAAATGATGCAGGATCAGGTTCTTTTCAGAACGCGTTTTCGGAGACACCTTTGAGCCCACAGGTAACTGCGACAGTCCACCACCAAGAAAATGAGGAGGCGCTGCAGTGCGCTGCGGTGGCAGCGTACCGCGAGGGAGTAGCGGCGGTGACGGGGCCAATGCTCTTTCGAAATCACTTGAGCCGAAACGGCGACGATCTGATTGTAGGGAACATGAGTGTCCCTCTGAGAAACAACGTTTACGTCGTGGGCTTCGGCAAGGCAGTGCTGAGTATGGTGGGGCCCCTGGAGGAGCTCCTTGGGCCTCACCTCCAACGGGGGATCGTCAGCGTCCCCGTCGGCATCCAGCAAGACCTGAGAGGGCCGGGAATGCTGCCAAGCCCACACTCGCGCGTGCAGGTCTTCGAAGGAGCTGCCGGTAACATCCCAGACGAAGCCGCGGAAGAGACTACGAGGAAAATCATGCGTCTTGTCGCTGGTCTCAGCCCGGACGACTTACTCATCGTGCTTATGTCAGGCGGAGGCTCGTCCCTCCTCCCCGCTCCTCTCCCGCCGCTCTCGCTCGCGGAGAAGGGCCACCTGGTCAGGGCCCTCGGCAAAGCCGGCGCCAGCATCAACGACCTCAACACCGTCCGGCGTGCTGTCTCCCTCGTCAAGGGCGGTGGTCTGGCTCAGATGTCCACTGCCCCTTTGGTGAGCCTCATCCTCTCCGACGTGGTGGGCGACCCGCTGGAGGTCATCGCGAGCGGGCCGACGGTCCCAAATCCCGACGCGCCGGACGCCGCCCTTCAGGTGCTGCGCCGATACAACATGTCGCTCCCGCAGTCCGTGGAGGATGCCATCAGGACCAAGAACGTCGTAGGAGGCAACTTCAGCCACGTCAGCAACCTTCTCCTTGGCTCCAACAAGCTGTGCATAGAGGCTGCCTCGCACCGCCTCCAGCAAGCGGGCTTCGTCCCCGTGGCATTCTCGACCACCGTGACCGGGGACGCGGTGCAGCTGGGACGCCACTTGGCGGATCTGGCCGCCTTCATCGCTTCCCAACTGGCAGGCCGCCCGCCCACGCCGCTCCACACTGACTACTGGGCCACGAAAGCTGGAATCAGCAGCTCCAACTGGAGAGAGCTGAGTTCAGCCATTGTTAGAGCTCGCTTCGGCGGCGGAGCTGTGGCTGTGGTGACGGGGGGTGAACCTACCAGCATTGTGCGGGGGAGGGGAGGGAAGGGCGGCAGGAACCAAGAGGTGGCACTCGCGGCAGGATTGGCGCTGGAAGAGGTGATGGCGGGTCAGACGGGCGAGGCCCTCGTGTTGTCGGGAGCCACGGATGGAATCGACGGGCCGACGCCTGCGGCAGGAGCCGCGGCCTTCTGGAGGTCCTTGTCAACAGGAGGGCACAGGTACATCAAGCTGCTTCTGTCGATTCCAGAATCATATATTTCATCACTCTAGTAAGACTCAATAATGATCTCCATTTTTAGGTCAACATTTCAAATAATTGGAACAAAGTAAGCATGTCCTGTAAACAAAATTTCTAACGCCTCCTCCTCTTGCAGGTCCACGGTGTCGGAGGGGGTGAAGCAGGGGCTTTCACCCGCCGAAAGTCTCGCAACGAGTGATTCCTACACATTCTTCAGGAATCTGTCGAGTGGTCGCTATCACCTTCTTCAGGGACACACTGGCACTAACGTAATGGATCTGCATATCGTCTTGGTCAGGGCCTAAGAGTCATTCAGAAATGATCAATGAAAACATTATCACATCAGTAAAAACATAAAGAAAAATAAAAAATAAAAAGGGCGTGCCACTTTTTGTAACCAGGCCTGTTCCATTACTTCAATATGAAGCGAAACTCGACAGGTGAAGTCTTTAATATCTATTATAAACTTCACAAACTGTGTATGCTTTTCGTATAGCTGTTATTAATTTTGTTCTTTTGTTGTTGTTTTACTTGTTTGATTTACTTGTATATACGATATGTGCCTATTAACTTATTTCTTAAATGAATATAATACAAAACAATTTTCAATTTCTGAGACTAATGACGAAAAAATCTTTGTAAGAAAAGACACCTTTTGTTGGACAGAAGACCTCAAAATTGGAAATACCTTAGACACTCCATAAAAGTATTCCATCCCAACGATGTTTTTTTTCTGTTTCTATAACTAGCAATGTTCTGCAAAACTGTTTAGTCGTGAGATCATGCAATTCTTATGTTGCAATTGTGCTCATTAATGTTTACGAACCCAATGGTTGGTTAATGGTTAAAAGCGAAATAAATGTGCTAGACATCTGAGGTCATATAGCACTATAGGAAGGTATAGTAAAGGGTGATGTCAGGTGATAGTTGCTACGCGTCAACTATCTAGAGTAATGTTGGAAAGTTGAAGATGGGAAAGGGGGTTGATGAGGGAAAGGGTTATGGTAGTTTAGGTAAGGGAATTAGATCAAGTGAAGGATTTTTATGCGTCTGAGAAAGGAGAACAGGTTGTTATAAGAAGCAAGGATATGACGTAGGTCTGGTCTGTGAGAACGGAAACCGCGAATATTCCAATGTAGGAGAGCTATATCGGTACGTGTTGGGGAATCTGGGGAGGGGGGGAGCTAGGGGGTGTTGTGACATGAGTGATTCCCGTGTGTATCTGGGAGGGAGTGGAAAGGATAGAGGGGATGGAGGGAGGGAGAATGTGCGTATAGATGGAGTTGAAGGGGGTGGGTTGTGTTGGGAGGGAGTAGGAGGAAGTGGTGTGGGGGGAATATTAGTGGTAGGAGGATGGATATCTAAAGGATGGATAGTTAGAGTTGAAGGGGATGTATTGTCTTGGGAAGGATTAGGAGGAAGGGGTGTAGGGGTGCTATGAGTAAGAGGGGGGATGGATTTCAAGAGGATGTGTATCGGGAGGATGGATATCGGTGGTGGACGGAATTAAGGGGGTTAGGTTGTGTTGAGAAGGAAGGAGGAGGAGGAAGGGGTGTAGGGGGAATGTGAGTAGGAGGGGTATGGATGTCGGCAATCACTTCAAGTGTGGAGGGAGCATGAGTTATGGAATTTAGTCACTCAGGCATATAGCTTTGAATGTCTTCCATAGTTTCTGCAGTGGAGTTTGTTGGAAAGTTTTGTGGGACAAAGGTTTTCTTATGAGGGGGGGAAGAGGAGACTGGTGTCTGAGGAGTAAAGGTAGGTGGAGGCGAGTGTGCGGTAGGGGAAGAAGGGGTGGAACGTTTAGTCTGTCTACTGCGGATAGTGCGGGGAGGGAGAGGGGTTGGTGTTGGGGCTGTAGTTGAGATTGGAGCTGTGGTTGAGATTGGGGTGTCTGGATTTAGAGTGGCAAAAGAATTTGACTAGGGGAGGTTGAATGTAGAAGTGGAAGTGGGGAAGTAAGTAGGTATAGGGGAGGGTGTAGGAACATCTTGAGGTGGAGGGGGAGGGGCTGAGCGACCGACATTACTGGAGTAGGGAGTATAAGGGAAACCTTGTCGGCGTGCTTCCTGTCTGGCTTCGTGTAGAGACCATTTTTGTATCTGAGAGCTGCTACCTCAGACTCGAACTTGTAAGTGGGACAGCTCCTACAAAATACATTATGGGGGCCGCTGCAGTTAGCACATGTGCGTTTGTGCAGGGCAGTTTGATCTGTTGTGACCGGGTTGGGCACAGAGGGGGGGGCATCGGTCTGTGGAGCGGCAGTTTGGCAGGATGTCCAAATCGCCAACAATTTTGACATTGACGGGGAGGAGGTTGGTATGGTTGAACAGGAGGGATTGTCCACCAATGTAGATACGAATGAGGTCATGTGTACTGAAAGTAATTTTGGCAATGTTGGTGGGTTTCTTTCGATGACCTCTAGGAGGAATAGTGTAGCAATGTACTGATATCACGTCCTGGTCTTTGAGGCAGCCGAGTAAGTCTTCTCCACAATCTGACCAATCTTTGATACCGACTAGGCAGTTTGCTGGGGAGAAAGAGAGTTCCGGTACATGTATTAAGAGTTGGATGAGGTTCTGCAGGGATGGGGTTACCAGAGAGATCAGTTAGTGTTGATAATGCTATAGCTTCAGCTTCAGATTTGACTGTTACGAGACGGGAGCGATCGCGTCGGGTACGGAAAGGGACTCTGCTTACATGTTTTTGGGGACATTGTTGAAAGAAAAGAGTGTTGCTTGAGTACGGAGCTGTAAGAAGGATCACGAAAAATCGGTCCCATTTAGCTGGGCTAAATAGAGTAGTTAAGATATTTGTAGGGTTGGTGGTGGTAGAAGGACGGGGGCGTGTGGAAGCGGGAGTGTTGCTGAGTGGGGTAGTATTACGGAGAGATGGAGAATAAGGCTGTAAGGTAGTAATAAGGGAGGTTGGGGTGTTTGATGAAGAAGGTTGTAAGGGTAGAGGTGATGAATTTGAGGAAATTGGGAGGGTAGGAATGTCTTCTGGAGATTGAGTCTGCTTGGGTGGGTAATGTACTAGTAGGCATTGAGGAGTGGGTAGTGGTTTCAGTGTTCGGAGTCGTGGTCAAAGGAGAGCCTGGGGCCGGGGAGCCGGTGGGGCTATTTGATGAAGGGGCAAGCTTCATTTCCCCTAATAGGGGTTTTACATCTTCATTACAGGCCATGGGAAGCCTTGATTATGTAAAGGGACATAAACAGTCCACCCCCAGTGCCCCGTAGGGGGTAAGGGCTAGACAACTACATCGGGAGTACCGTGCCCATGGTTCCCGCAGGTCGTTCAGGACTGTCACAAGGTCAGCCTTTCATCCTTTCAGCACGGCTCTTACACCTTAGGAAGTAGATAGTAGAAGGGGATGGAGAAGGGACGGAAACAAAAAGCTGGAGGGGGAAAAGACCATGCAAAATTAGTTGAGTTGAGGGCTGAGGCCCTAGACAGGGGAGATCCCTGTATTGGGTCTCAGTCTCTGTCTCCTAAGCCCCCCCCCCCCAACGATCACAACGGGCAAGGATGGGGGGGGGGGCTGTGGCAAAAGTGAGTTAGAAGGGAGGCGGAGGCTGAAGAAAATTTATGGTATCCATAATCAAGACTGGAGAGGATCAAGGTAATTTGGAGATAGAGCAGTGTTTTGCGGTCTTTCAGATCAGATAATTACGTGAAAGTTCATGGAATTATTAATAAGTTTGGTTGCGAAAATGTGTGTAAGAGTCGGAGGCAGTGACATGGGCAATCCACCCTAAAAATCAGGCCTCAATCCGGGTATACGCCATCTGCTCTTCTCTTCCTGGGCAACAAATATCTTGCTAAAATGTGTGGGCAGAATTTTTTAGAGATTAGAATATTCCACTGAATTCCCAAAGAATTTTAAGGTAGTGCCACCCTCAGTCGTCTTACATGCCATAATTTCAAGGTGCAAAAAAGTGCTAAATCTTCAAACATAAATTGATATTTAGTATATGATATATCCTGCATTGTTTTTAGTCATTAATCATCTAGGTAAGAATAAGCACCATGGATCAAGACTACCCTTAAACACATCTATAATAAGCTTTATAGCCAGAAAAAATGTACTGGATATCATGTGACTGGTGACTGGCTTTGATAAAGTAAAAACTGCATTCACTACTTTTGGAGGGCACAATTCATTATCTTGTCCCCTTACACATGAAATCAAGATGTTCAAAATTGTCCATTCATCTTAAATGAGTTTTCAATAAGAAATGTTTAATAATTCAAAATTGTAAATTCAGGATACATTTTTGGTTAGGTTATTGTGGTTGTTCACACTCATATACTAGAGGTAAAAGTTAGTTGGTTCTGAATGCACTACAACTATGAACTCAATTAGCATAATGGTAATCTGCATTTCATCACTAGTAATCATAATGAAATACAGTAAAATAAATAAAATACTTAGTTTTTGTGACTTTAGATACCTTTATTGTTTCAACTAATTAGCATGAAGATATGGGACTATACCATACCTATTTTGCAGTGACAATCCATTATCAACTAAGCTTTTCTTTATTAAAGTTTCTATAAGTTCTATTTTTTCAATGGTATCATCTGAATATTTTCTTTAATGTCACAAAGGCTTGGTTGACTCACAATTTCTTTATTTTCATGAGCATAAGCTGTTAATATATATCTTCATCCAAATTCTATAATCAACTCATATTCCAGTAAAAAGTCTTACGACACATATTTTTATCTGTCAGAAACACAGAGAAATCAACCTTACTTGGAAAACCGGGGGATTTAAGGAAGAAAGTTTAGGAAAAGATGCATAATTTATGTTTGATTTGGACACATTCTTTCTTTCAGATAATCATAGGATGATAATCTCCTGCTTTCTAATTACTCCTAATTTGCAAAAGGGCATTCAAATCAGCACAAAAGCCCTTCTACAAAACAATCAAATTAAAGAACAAAAACCAGAAGAGCATCAAAATCATACCCAAACACCTTGAGGATGAATTAAATATTCTGAAAAGAAGGTAAAGGGATATGAATATTGCAGTTCAGTAAATTACAAGAAATCTGAATATCTTAGCTTGGGCAAATATAAATAACACATACCATTTATGGGAATGATACACTGTGTTGGTTAAGATATGCATAGATCCTTAAGGATAAAAAATAGAACTATTAGCACTCTTTCACTCAAAAAAGTCTAGCAATATCCTACCATGAAAAGAAACGAAAACAAACAAATTTATGGCTTGTTCATAAGGAAGTGGCAACAACTAAAGATCCTACATACTCTTAAAAGTATTAAAATCAAGTACTGCTGTTACATCTAAATTTTTAATATAGCTATCCCAGTGATAGTTCAAACTTGCATATGTATATCTAGCACAGGC